CAATTCACCCCTCCTCCATCTCCGCTGGCAGGTTAGTGCGTGCAGGGATCCAGCCCCAAAATGGAGGGGTGGGAGAAGATTAAGCAATACAAGCTCCTCCCTCCCCCAGGGTCGGGCTCAGCCATGCACCAGGTTCGGGGGTGCCGGCAAGGGGGAGGGGCGGGGCGCAGATTTATCCTTTGCCCTCCAGGCGTGTAACACCCTCGCTCCGCCTCTGGTGCTCCAGACCCCTCATCACTTGTGTTCCCCTCTGTTGGACTCTCTCCAATGCTCCCACACCCTGTCTGTAGCGGGGCAAGACCCGGACGCAGCACTCCAGATGCGGCCTCACCCGTGTCGAATAACGGGGAGCACTCCCTGTCCTAGATCTGCCGGCCATGCTCCTCCTAACGCAGCCCAATGCGCCCAGGCCAGGTCTGGGCATCAGGAACCCTGGATTCTTTTCAGGACTTTGCCACGGGTAGACCCAGGGCTGGCTTGAGCCGTTCCTGCGCCCTGGGCAGCGGGTGCGTGACGCATGAATGGCTCCGCCCCAGGGTGCATGGCGCATGCGTGGCCCCGCCCCCTGGTGCGCTGCGCACCTTACAGCTGCAGTCGGGCACGCGGTGCCTGATGGCAGCCCTAAGGGGCACCGCGCAGATCCCGGCCCCGGTGCACAGCGCCCCTTAGAGCTGCCCAGCTAGCCCCCCCATTAATCCGGCCCTGGGTAGACCTTAGGAAAGTCGTTTGCCCGTCCCCCCCCCGTTTTTCCCCAAAAGCAGCTTCTGATTTTAGGTGCCTCCATGCCTGGCAGCCCGCTGGGAGCTCTCCATCACCCCCACCCTGGCAAAGATGGGCCGAGTGACTCGCCCCCTTCGCCCGCTCTTGTCGGGGTTTCCAGCCCCCTGTTGTGTCGCCTGGCTCTGAGCACGCCCCTTGCTGCTGCCTCGGCTATTTATTTCCGTAACCTGCTGGGAGCCGTGGGCCAGGAGCAATGGCCCTCTTTCCCCAAGGCGCAAACCGTCAGCTCCCTGCAGGACTCGGAGTCGAGCCAGGATCCTGGTCTCCCTGGAAGCACAGACTGAGCTGTGA